TAAGATGTTACTTCAAAGTCCCTCCCTAGGGCTGGGGATTTAGCTCAGTGCTTCCGCTGCCTGCCTTGCAAGCGAAAAGTCCCAAGTTCGATCCCCGGTACCAAAAAAAAAAAAAAAGAAAGAAAGAAAGAAAAGAAAAGAAAAGAAAAATCAGTAACAAGACAAGAATGTCCATTATTACCACCCTTGTTCAACATAGTACTCAAAACATTAACAAGAGCAATTAGACAAGAAAAAGAATAAAAGAGATATGTATAGGAAAGGAAGAAGTCAAATGATCATTATTTGCAGATGACATACTCTACATACAAGATCAAAAAAATTTACCAAAAATCTCTTAGAATTAATGATCAAATTCAGTAATGCAGCAGGAGATAAAATCAATACATAAAAATCAATAGAGCGCCTGTACACTAATAATGAACCCCTGAGAAAAAAATTAGGGAAAAAATACCATTCATGATAACACCAAGAAAAATTGAATACATTCTTAGGAATTAACCTAACTAGTGCACACCTGTAATCCCAGCACTTGGGAGGCTGAGGCAAAAGGATTGCCGTGAGTTCGAGGTCAGCCTGAACTACATAGCAAGAGCTTGTCTCAAAAAACAAAATAAATAAATACTTAAAAAAAAGAATTAACCTAACTGAGGAAGTGAAAGACCAATGAAAAGTACAGTACACTGAAAAAAGGAAATCAAAGAAGACATCAGAAAATAAAAGGATATCCCTTGTTCCTGAATAGGCAGAACCGATATAGTCAAAATCACCATATTTCAAAATTGATATAGAGATTTGATGCAATCTCAATCAAAATACCAGCAACATTCTATACAGAAGTGGAGAAAACAATCCTAAAATTCGTATGAAACCAGAAGAGATTCAGAATAGCAAAAGTAAGCCTGGGTAACAAAAGCAAGACAGGCAGTATCACAACCCCAGACTTAAAATTATGCTGTACTACAAAGCTACCATGATTAGCAACAGCAGGAGACTGCCACAAAAACAGACACATGGATCGGTGGAACAGGATAAAGGTTGCAAAACAACCTCAAGCACATTTAACCATTTGATCTTAGACAAAGGGGCCAAAAACACACAATGGAAGAAAGATAGTCGCTTTAATAAATGGTGTTGGGTAAACTGACTATCCACACGCAGAGGATTGAATCCAGACCCATACCTCTCACCATGTACTAAACTAAAATAAAAATGGATCAAGGATCTAAATATTAGAACGGAAACAATCTGCTGGAAGACAAAATAGGTAAAACTCTTGAACAGAATTCCAGGTGCACAGGAAATAGTTCTGAGAATCAACAAATGGGATCACATCAATTTAAAAACCTTCTGCACAGCAAAAGAAATGACAAAGTGAAAAAAACCATAGAAAATGGGAAAAAATTGCCAGTTACCCCTCAAAGTATAAATATCTAGAATATACAAAGAACTCAAAAAAATTAGAACCCCTAAAATAAAAGACCCAATCAAAAAATGAGCAAGTGAAATGAATAGATACTTCACAGAAGTACAAACGGCCAATAAAACCATGAAGAAAAGCTCAATATCATTGGTCATTAGAAAAAAACCCAAAACAACCCTGAGATTCCATATTACCCTAGAAAGAATGGCCATCATCAAGAAATGAAACAATAACAAATGCTGGTAAAGCTGTCAGAAAAAAAAAAATGGTGCCCTTCTATATTGCTGGTGGGAATGTAAATTAGCACAACCACGACTATGGAAATCAGTATGAAGATTCCTCAAAAAACTAAACTAGAAATTTCATTTGACCCAGCTATTCCCCTTCTAGGCATCTTCCCAGAAGAGTTAAAGATACCACATTACAGTGATACAAGCAGTCCCATATTTATAGCAGCACAATTCATAATAGCTAAATTTTGGAAGCTGCCTATATGTCCATCAACAGTTGAATGGATACTGATGTGGTATTTACACACAACATGCAGTACGACGCTACCATAAAAAAGATAAACTTGAGTCATGTGTCAGAAAACGGATGCACCTTGAGACCATAATGTTAAGAGAAATACATCAGACACACAAGCTTAAATATTACATTAGTTTCTCTTATAGAAAAAACTCAAATTATACATAAAGGGCAAAATAAAATATTGATAATAGGAAATAGGGAGTTAAGCCTTTCTCAAATGGGAAGGGGATCAAGAAATGGGGGGGGAGTAAAAGGAAGGAAAGGGGATGAAAAAGGAATGAAGATGTGTTATGTACATGTACCTACTCCCCACAGGAATGTAGTTTGTTTTTGGTTTTTTTTTTGGTACCAGAGATCGAACTCGGGTCCTTGCGCTTGTGCAGCAGGTGATGAAACCACTGAGCTAAATCCCCAGCCCAGGAATGTAAACATTATGTACTATAAACATGTACTAATAAAAAAACCCAAAAGAAGTGAGTATGCTATCATTAAAAATATTGAGGTCATAGACTATAGGAAGCCAGCTTTCTCAACTTCAGGAATGAAGAACTCTCCCTGCCATTCTCTTGTGAAAGACAGTTTTGTGTACTCTTTTCTGCGTAACTTTAATGTTACATAACTTCTTGTTTCAAAAAGAGCATTCTGTAGGGACATGATCACACATGCTTTTTTTTTTTTTTTTTTTTTTTAATAAGAGGGACTGGTTCTTTATTTCAAAAAGACACTTGGCAATAATATTCAGTATCAAAACAGTTGCACTTCTGGTCCTTCTTTCTCCTGACTGGCCCTAAAGAGAGACCACAACAAAGGAGCACACATTTTAAGCCAATAAGCTGCAGGGTGTACACCCAACAGACCTCACAGAAACCTCACCTAAAAGTGGGTATGGAAAAAACTTCAAAAGATTAGCACACTGCCAGCCCACAGACTCTACCAACTCTCACAGCCAGGTGGGGTAGTTGTGCGCTCCAACCCTAAAGCAAAATCTCAAAATAATATAAAACTTAAAAAGTTTTGTACATAAGCTATTCAAGATTTCTCCAGCACTGACTGATACAAAGCACAATGAGATGGCACTTTCAGAGACAGCAGCTTCAGACCCAGAAGAGAGGGAGATGAATTTCATATGGCTGAATCAGTGGCAAAAACATCATTTTTCTATTCTTTCAAGGAGGCAGGAGAACAATTAATTGGTCACCTCAAGATTAAGGGAGGGACACATGATCCGTTCAGTGAGCAGCTGAGAAGGGGTAGAAATGGGACAAAAATTTGGTCTCAGGGCCGGGTATGGGCTCAGTGGAAGAGCTCCTGCCAACATCCACAAGGCCCTCCCTGGGTTCAGTCTCCAACATCACACACACAAAAAAGTCTCAGAGGTCTCACCATCTTAATTTGCTCACTTCTGATGAAAAAAGTAACAAATAGGGCCAGGGAGGTAGCTCAGTGGCACCACACCTGCCTCGCAAGCGCAAGGTCCCACATTCGATCCCCGGTGCCAAAAAAAAAAAAAAAAAAAAAAAAAAAGTAGCAAATGAAAATAAAGTTGTTCATAGATACCTTAAAGCTCAAAACCTGAGTAGCGCGGTTTTTGTTTCTGGCTAACTCCTCCTGAGACCACCTTCCTGGTTTGGCTGGTGCTTGGGGCAGAGCACAGGTTTCCTACAGTGGAGCCTTTCCCTGGGCTGTTCGGCTGTTGGTGAGGCAGCTGCCCTTACTTCTTTCCCTCTTCTGCAGAGGGCACTACGCATTAGGCTGAGTTACCTTCCAAAGTGAGAAAGGAATCAGACTTCTGCTTTGAAGTTGTCGATTATTTGGAATGTTTTACAAATGGTTGTTACAACAAAAAAAGTTATTACAAATGTGCACATCACAACATGCTTTTAAATACACTTCGCACTGTGCTCACATTCCCTTGAATCTTGTTCCCAAAGGTGCTCAGCCTCTAGCCCAGCCGGAAGCTCTGAGAAGAGGCAGAGACAAGGAGCGCCAGGTGAGGTGGGGTGGGGTGGGGTGGGGAGAGAGGACGTAGAAAGGAGAAAGCAGCCTTCCAGTTAAAAGATCAGCCCTCAGTTTCGAGGTCAGCCTCGGGCAGGCCGGCCCCAGGTGGTGTCGGGTCAGAGGGAGGAGCAGCGGTAGGGCACGACTGGGGAGCTCTACATCTCCTTCAGGTCGAGCAGAGTCTGGTCCTGCATCCTTTGTGTACTGAGGTGCTCCTCTTTGGTGCATTTCAGCTTATCTTCCAAGTCATCAATAGTGTTTTCCAGTTTGGCTACTGATCTCTCAGCAAACTCAGCATGCGTCTCTGCCTCCTTGAGCTTATCAGTAAGAATCTGTATCTCTTCCTCATATTTGTCTTCTTTTTGGCAGTGCTTTTCTTCAGCAACACTCAGACACTTCAGGTTCTGGTCCATCAGTCTGATCTGCCCATCCATCTCCCGGCAACAGGACTCTGCCAGCTCAGCTCGTTCCTCGGTGCGTTCCAAGTCTCCTTCAATAATCACCAACGTTCGAGCCACCTCTTCATACTTCCTATCCGCCTCTTCTGCAATATGTTTAGCTTCCATAGGTTGGATTTCCTGGAGTTCCATCTTTTCTTCATCTTTCAGGGCCCAGTTTTCAATAACCTTCATGCCTCTCTCACTCTCATCGGCAGCTTTCTCAGCTTTCTCCAGCTTTTGCAGGGCAGTGGCCAGGCGCTCCTGTGCACGGTCCAGCTCTTCAACCAGCTGGATCCTACGGTTCAAGGAGGCCACCTCCGCCTCAGCCTGTTCCCGAGCCTGCCTTTCTCCCTCCACCTCCCGCTGGAGGCGTTCGGCCCTCTCCTCTGCGTCATCGGCTTGCTGCTGAAGAACCTGGATCTTGCGCTTCACCGCCTCGGTGGTGGTGATCCCGGCCATAGTGACCACCCAGCTGCCTCTGTCTCAGGCCCTGCCTCTTCAGTCCGGCGCTGCAGCCGCTTCTCCCACGCATGCTTTTAATCTCAGCTACTTCGGAGTCAGTTCAAGGCCAGCCTTGGCAAGTTAGCGAGACCCTGTTTTGAAATTAAAAACAAAACAAATCAAAAAACAGCTGGTGACATAGCTCAGTGATAGAACACTTGTCTAGCAGGCCTGAAGCTTTAATACCCAGTGGGGAGTGGGGAGAGAATGAGAATGGATATAAATTTTGGCATTAACCTATTAGCAAGAGAGGCGTGTCTAACTTTCCCTTCAAAGAAATTCGTACATTCCAGGCTTTCTAGGGGAGTGTCCGCGGTGTTACCCAACTCGTGAGGTGGACTTCTCTGAAATAAGAACAAGGGCTCTGCTATCAGTTGGATTTTTAAGTTTTAATAAAACTTATAAGTAATGTACATTCAAAAAACCCTGCAAGGTTTCGCCACCTGCTGCGCAAGCCCCAAGGACCTGAGTTCGATCCCCGGTACCAAAAAACAAATGAGGGGCCGGGGATTTAGCTCAGTGGTTTTGCCACCTGCTGCGCAAGCGCAAGGACCCAAGTTCGATCCCCGGCACCCTCCCCCCAAACAAACAAACAAAAAACCCTGCAAAAGATAGACACCAAAATAGGAATGGCGCTTACCTTTGGGGAATAAGGTTATAGGACATTTAAAACCGTCTTCTTTTGCTTATCTGTATATTCTAATTTTCTATAGCAAATATCTATTATTTTTGTAATAATAAATGACATAATACAGGGTAAAAGGGAAAAATGTAGAGAGTGTTTGTATATTATATATATATGTATATTATATATATATATATAATATACATATATATATAATTTTTGTGTGTATGTGGTTCTGGGGATCGTACTCAGGACCTTGCTCTTGTGAGCAGGTGCAATGCCACTGAGCTAAATCCCCAGCCCTTGTTGTATCTCTTCTGATGTGATTAGAGTTTAAAAGAGGAAGGTTTCTGGATTACCCTTCATGCAATCACAAGTGTCCTTATGAAAGAGAGGCAGAGGGTTATTTGAAACAAGAGGACAAAGCAGTGACCATGAAGAAAGAGGTGGAGTTATGTTGTCCCAGGCCAAGGAACACTGGCAGCCACCCAAGCTGGAAGAGTCAAATAAACATTCTGCACAAGAGACTCCACAGAGAGTATTGCCCTGTGTGACATCTTGATTTCAGCTACTGATTTTGGACTTCTGGCCTCTGGAACCATAAGAGAAGAATTTCTGTTGTTTAAGCCACCTAGTTTGTGGTAATTTGTTACAGTAGCCACTATATAGTGGTATATCATAATAAAATAAATTTCTGTCCATATTCATTCAAGCACATCCTCTGGACATTTTACATAAGTGGAATCATAATAAAAAGTGTGGTTGAAAAATACAGTCTGTGTGTTTACATTTTAAAAATTATTTCACTGAAAAACACATTGTGATTAATCACCCTCAAAATACAGTGGTACCTCAGTTCACGAACTCAATTCCTTCCATGCTTCTGGGAAAGATGGCCATGCTCGTGTTCCTGTGGTGAAAATGGCCACCCAATGAGGAACTTGCAAACAGAAACAAAATTCTGCCAATGCTTCTGTTTTCGAACCAAATTGTCTACAAACAGAGGTGTTCATGAACTGAGGTATTACTGTACTCCCCCTCACTTTGAACACAATTATCCCATTGTTCTTGCCACTTTCTGAGGCAGTTCTGGAAGCCCTCTTTCATGTCTTTATCTGTCATGTCTGCTTTGATGTCCTGAATTGATTAAAAACGTTTACCTTTTGTAGTCATTTTTACTTTGTGGAAGAGCCAGAAGTTGCACCATGCCAGACCCAGTGAATAAGGTGGATGAGGACACACTGTAGTGTTTTTCAAGCCTGTCTTTCTGTTGGCATGTAGCATCAGTGTTCATCATATTTTTGATCAGCCCTCATAAAGTCACAAAATAAAGAGGGTCTTTTACTACAATCATTGCTCTCAAATTTTAACATTAACTATAGATTTCGATCACATCTTGTATATGCTCCTTTGTAACGGCCTTTTGCCACTGAGCATATTTTCATGCTTCATCTATATTGTAGTGTGTAACAGTGCTTCATTTGTTTTTATTGTTAAATAATATTCTATTGTATAAATATCCCATAAAAAGTGATGCCTGTACATTTTTATATCATCAAATTTATAATAATAAGCCAATAATTGAAGAAATTCTTTTTGGTTTTTTGAAACAGGATTTCGCTATGTAGTTCAGGCTGGTCTTGAACTCACTATGTATCCCAGGCTGGCCTCAAACTCCTGGCAATCCTCCTGCCTCATCCTCCCAAGTGCTGGGATCACAGGCATGCACCACTGTGCCTGGCTGAAGAAATGGCTGAAGAATTTTTTAAATCCCCCAAATTTATTTATCCAGTCATCAGTTGATTAACCTTGGACTCTTCCACTTTGGGGCTATTATGAATAGTGATGCTATGAATACTAGGATGTAAGTTTTAGTGTGGGCATATTTTCATTTCTCTTGGTCATTTACCTAGGAGCAGAACTGCTAGATCACATGGCACATCTGAGGAACTGTGAGACTTTGTTTTCCAAAGCAGCAACACTATTTTTCATCATAAAATAGTGTACAAGTGTTCCAATTTCTCTATTCCTTGTCAACATTTGTCATTAGCTGTTTTTTGTTTGTTTGTTTTTAGCTATTTGAGTGGATGGGAAGTGTATCTCATTATTTTACAACTATTTATTCTTGCATTTATTCCCTGCTTTAAAAATAAATGGGTTAGCCAGGGATTTAGCTCAGTGGCACTGTGCCTGCCTTGCAAGTCCAACGTCCTGAGTTCGATCCCCAGTACCAAAAAAAAAGAAGGGTGACCAGATAAATAGCATAATGAAATATTTGTGATCATTTCTAGGAAATAACCAGGGTATCAGAATAAGAATAAAATGGCTCTGGTGCAGGGGATTTAGTTCAGTGGTGCCATGCCTGCCTGGGAAGCTCAGGATCCTTAGTTCTATCCCTGGTACCAAAAAGAAAATAAAACAAAACGGCTCTGTTTCCTGCCTGCCATGCCATGAACTGTTTCTCTTCCACCACGCTCCTCTGTCACGGCACCCTGCTTTGAAACCTACCAACTAGGGACTGAAATCTCTACAGACTGAGAGAGTTTGTTCTGATGCAAAGCCTCAACCAGTGAACCTAGGACACAATTCATGGTGCATCACTAGACTTTAAGAAATGCTGAGTAACTCGGTGAGTAATGGTGTGATACAGGAAAGGGCCAGTCACCTTGTGAGCCTTTCTGAGGAAGATAGAAGGATGGTATTTGGAGATGACCATCACAGCATGCCTGACAAGTCCCAGAGAACAGACAGCTTTGCTGAGACCTTCACATCAGGCCAGCACACCAGGATGTGAACATGGCCCATTCCTCCACCTGTATTCCGAGCTCTATAAAGAATCTAGTATAAGTCATATTGACAAAGTTATGAAGCATTGCTCCTATTTTCATTGAAGAAAAACAATCATTATAGTTCTTCTACCAACTCTGCATTTTTTTTTTTTTTTGGTACTGGAGATCAAACTCGGGACCTTGCGTTTGCAAGGCAGGCGGTGGTACCACTGAGCTAAAACCTGGGCCCTATAAATTTGTTTTTTAAATTTAATTTTAATAAAGTGCTCTGTAACTATCATAAAAAAAAGAATAAAATGGTAGATGAGGAAGCTATGGAGGTAACATTTAAGCAGAGGTCCCGAAGCTGGATGGAACTAGCTCTGTAAACGGCCCCCAAAAAGAACTGTCCAGTCAGAGAAAAGCAAACCCAGAGGCTCTGAGGTGAGACAGAGCTTGGCTAATTCTAAAATGAAAAAGGCCAGGATGATTGATTCCAAGGGGGAGAATAGCATGAGCTGAGGCTGGAGAGGTTGTCAGAAGATAGGTGTTTTTGTATTTTATTCTAAATGCAACTGGAAGTCGCTGAAAAGTTCTACACTGACAGAGGCATGATGGTGCTCAGGTTTTTAAGAGATCACTTTAACTGCTACATTGAAAAATCAGTTCCGAAGTGACTGTAATTGTCCAGATGAAGTAATCATAATCTGAGTAAGAGTAGCACCCATGGAAATGAGGAGAAGTGGTCTCAAGCGTTATTCAAGAGCTAGAACAAGCAAATATGGGACTTGAGTGGGTGAAAAGAAGGAGTCAACAATGACATTCAAGTTTCCAGCCTAAGTGGCTAGGTGAATGAGTGTCATTTATCAAGTTGGACAACCAACAAGTTATTATTTATTATTTATTTAAATAGGAGCTAGTGGTGCATCCCTGTAATCCCAGAACTTTGGGAAGCTGAGACAGGAGGGCTACAAATTCTAGCCCAGCCTGGGAAACTTAGTGACTTAGTAAGAACCTATCTCAAACTAAAAAAAATGGCTGGGGATGAAGCTCAGTGCAAAGACCCTGAGTTCAATCCTCAATACCACCACCAAAAAAAAAGGAGAGCCAGGCATGGTGGCATAGACCTGTAGTCCCTCCCAGGTAACTAGAAGGATGAGGTGAGAGAATCACTTGAGCTCAGCAGTCTGAGACCAGGCTGAAAATACTGGGGAACATAAGGAAATCTCAGCTTTTTTTTTTTTTTTTTTTAAAGAATGAATAAATGAATTAGCAATGGTGTGGCAGACTAGTTTTTATGTGCTGACTTCACAATATGCTTAAATAAATCCTGGAAATTTTAATTCAGTTTTCCAGGAGTTATTACCTTTCTAAGTGTGTGAATCTGATTCCTGGGGTATAATAATGATGACTGAATGAGATCTTGGATTCATTTACTTTCATTTATAGTTACGTTATATTCTTTCACTAGTATTAACTCAAAATTAAAAATACTTCTTCCACTCACATCTAATTTGTTGTTCTTTTCCCCTCACTAATTGCAATCTTATCTTCTATATATGAAATTCTATCCTCACATTGGTTCATTCTGCTGCGCAGACTTTCGATGGAGTTTTTAATCTCTTAGAAATCTGTTTGTATCTGTTTTATGGATTCCATTTGTTTCCT